TACTCGTCATGCCGCACGTCATGCTCCTCGTCATGCCCATCGCTCCCTGTTTTGTCGGTTTTTTTGGCGCGAGTCAAAGGAGTGGCAAGATGAGCGCGAGTGGTCGGCCACATACGCGCGTAATCTGCAGTCCGAGTCGAGCTCTCATTACGGAAGCACGTCACGTTTCATTTAAAAACCATAAATTTTGTACGTGGTGGAGCTATGCTGCAGCTATATTATGATTGTATCACGATAAAAAATCAAATTGAAATGTATTGTCACTCCAGAGGTCAATCAGCATGGAATATCACGTTTCCAGTAAAAGGGGTCTTCGGTTCTCTACACTCACCATACGATACACAGAGCGTGGTACGAGTACATCCCCGGTCGAGCCGACTCATTCGTGCTACAACCATAATATAGATGCAGTTTGGCTCTACCACGTAAATTTGCATGTTTTTTAAATTTTTTTTTGAAAGTTTACTAAAAAAACATAGATTTTTCATATAATCATACAATTAAAAATGGTTATTCCAAAATGTAAATTCAAACGCCAGTGACGTCATTATATCGCTATAGTAACGCCACCGCATGATATAATGATGAAAAACTCATATTTACGTTGTCAAAATAATAAAAACGTCATTTCATAATACAGATTATATATAACGTTTTGTTATGAAACATGGTGATCCGAATATAGAAAATACAAAGGTATAGCATGATTGCGTTTGGCACACAGTCTCGACGGAGAGAATGACGGCAAAATCTACCACAAGTTGTATTTTTCATTCGAAAATTTAACTATTTTTGTTGCTATTTACTAAAGAAAAGCAATTGTTAATAAAAAATATTTAAAAATACTTTAAATGAATTATTCTTCGTTAATATATAAATTTTTGTGGCAAAAAAAATGCAGCTTTTCTATTGGACAAAACCTCAAGCACAAAAACCCTATTGTGACCCTCGTCAAGATTAACCAGATCTAATATACTAATAAATGAATATCTCTACTATCACTATTTCATTCGCTTTGATTGCAATTAATTATAATTATCATATAAATATTTATTTAATATAATATAAATTAAAAACTTTTAAAACTAATATAACTATCATCTAACAGATTATTTGAAAAAATATGAGACCGTCTTACTGAAATCCGGTCGTAAGGAAACCCTAGCTCAGATACTAGAAGTGATACATGGGCTTACTTTAAGTAAAAAGTTGGGATAGGTAATGCGATTCAAAGGAAGGGGTAGGGGGATGAAAAACTGCTCCCTGTTGATATTCAAAGTTATATTTAAAAGTTCTTGTTTTATAAACTCTAACGACTGCGTATTTTAGGGATTACAATATTAGATGGTTCTGGGTACGAATCCGAGAAAAAGCTTTTCATAGAAGTCGTACATATTCACTCATCTCTCTCATTCTTGTGAGATGAAATTCAATAACCACGCAGTTCATCTGATGGTTAAAAAAAACTGTGGGGTATACACACCTACATTTTTTATAGGATAGGTTGACCAACGAGCATATAGTCCAGCATATAGTGATGGTAAGTGGTTGCTGCGGCCCATAGACATCTACATCTATCCTCGATTACGAATCAAAAAGCAGATGCGTTGACACCCGTGAGGACTAAGATGGAATGCCTCGTTTCCAGTAAAAAGAGTCTCCGGTTCTCTACACTCACCATACGAAAGACAGCAGCATTAATCTGCTATTTCACGCTGGTATTCTTTGAGAGCGTGGTCCTTCCCCGGTCGAGCCGACCCATTCGTGCTACAACTATACTACTAATATAACTGCAGCATGGCTCTACCATCCTCGATTCAGACAATATAGATGCGTTGTCATCCGCAAAGGTTAAGAAGGAATATCTCATTACCAGTACGTTATCGATGATAAAGTGCAAAAGGAATTTTATTTTCCTAAGTCTTAAAAACAGTGACTAAGATATTAAAAAAAAAAACTTAACAAAATTATAGTCTATTTGGTGGTAAGTGGCTACTGCGTTACATGAGTACCAGCAGCTAAGTTCAAATAAAGAAGACTACTGACTTTCAGCTATGAAGAACATGACCAAGAAGAAAAAGAAGAAGTTGGAGTAGGCCTGTGCTCAGCGGTAAACTTGTGAAGGACTGTAATAACGATGATGTTCATGACTAAACAAAAAACGGTATAGAAAGGGTTAGTATTATAATACACACTGAGGGTTAGTAATATAATACAACTGCCTCGTTGGTCTAGTGGTTGTAGTAGTGCGACTGCTGATCACGAGGTCCTGTTTTCGAATTCCTGGTTGGGCCAAAAAATCAATTATTGAGTTTTTCTGTCAAGAAATTCACAGCAGCTGTCCGGAGTCAGGAAGTTGGCGGTGTCTCACCCCCGTGCCTCGGAAAGCACTTAAAGCCGTTGGTCTTGCGCCTGATCTCTCTCCGGTCGTGTCGGTTTACCGTCCCATCGGATTATGAGTGAGGGAATAAATAGTGCACCTGTACCTGCGCATACACATGGGCACTATAATCCTGTCCGGCGCCGTTGGCTAGTCTCCGTTGAGGCAGGCCGCCGTGGCCGGAATTCGGTCTGGAGGACATTTTTATTATTGTGGGGTATCTATATAGTTTTCTCATCTGGTTGGGTTCTATAAATATATAATTATAAATTAAAATGAAAAGATAAATATACATATATATCAATAACATAAAATAAATATAAAAATACATAAATAAATAAAAGCCCAACCAGATGGAGGCCCTCGGCAGGGGAGACCAAACGGCCGAGGGTTAGGGGGAAAGGGAAACAAACCGGCGGACGATGCGGGCGGTATCGAGGAGCACCGCCTTCTGCATTTGAGCCTGGAGCGGTCCGCCACGTAGTCCCAGTCGCCTCAGATGACCCGAGAGGCTGACTGGGATTAGCCCGTTTGCAGAGACGACTACAGGAATAATTTCGGTCGGCAGACCACCACACATGTCGGTCACCTCGTGAGCCAGGTCCAGATATTTTGTTTGCTTATCTGTTTCGGCTTTCACGAGGTTCTCGTCACACGGAATGGTAATGTCGACCAAAAATATCCTTGACTGTGCCCGGTCCATCAGCACAATATCAGGCTTATTTGCAAGAATAGTCCTGTCTGTGATGATGGCCCGGTCCCAGTAGAGCCTGGCGCGGTCATTTTCGAGCACGGCTTCCGGCAAGTACTTGTAATACGGCAATTTCCGATCCACGAGACCGTATTTCAGAGCGAGCTCCTGGTGTAGAATTCTGGCTACTAGGTTGTGCCTGTGCAAGTACTCAGAGTTAGAAAGCGCCGAACAACCGGAGATGACATGCCTAAGTGACTCCCCGGGATGGCGACTAGCTCGACAGATGTCTATGGTGCCATCCTTTAGGATGTATCTCCGATAGTTGTTGATTTTAATAACCTGATCCTGTATTGCACAGACAAAACCCTCGGTTTCCCCGAAGAGGTCACCGAAGCGTAGCCAGTTGAGAGACGCTACTGTATCTACGAAGGGCCCATGTAGAGACTTGTAGAACCTCCCGTGGAGCTCCTTCTCCTTCCATACGGTCTCCCGGTCGGAAATTGCTAGCACTGCCGGGTCTTGCCATTGCTCGTTGGCCAAGGATAGAGGGGTAAGCCCTTTATCACTAGAAATGACGTCCTTATAGAATGGATCATCCGATCTCGCCAGGAAGTAATCACGGAGGCTGCACACTTCGCGATTATGCATGGTGAGCGCGCTCAGAAAGCCACGCCCACCATGCTTTCGTGGCAAGTACAGCCTCATTACCGACGATCTCGGATGATGCATCCTGTGGGACGTCATGGTAGTGCGGACTTTTCTATCCAGGGCGTTAAGTTCAGTCTGAGTCCACCTGAGTATGCCAAAGGTATACATGAGGACAGGTATGACCCAGCCGTTATATGCTTGTGTCTTATTCACACCGGACAAAAGGCTGTTAAGCACTTTGGTCAAGCGTGCATAAAACACGTCGCAAACTGACTGTTTCATACCAGCCTCATCGATACCGATGTTCTGTGACATACCCAGGTATCGGTATGTTTCAGCCTCGGAAAGGGTCCTAGTTGACGGGCATAGATAAATCTATGCCCTCAGAGTTAGCAACCCTTCCCCTCTCAACATGGAGGACCGCACACTTATCCGTCCCCAGCTCCATTCTAATGGAATTGCTAAATTCACAAGTGATGTTTAGCAGTTCCATAAGATGGGAGCGACTGGAGGCGAATAACTTGAGGTCATCCATATAGAAAAGGTGGGTCACTTTTGTCCCTCCTTTTCGAAGCTGAAATCCCCTCCCGGATCCCTCCAGTAAGGTACTGAGAGGGTTCAGGGAGAGGCAGAACCAGTTTGGACTCAGACAATCGCCCTGGAAGATACCCCTTCTTATCCTTATGTGGTTCTCCGCAGCCATCATCCGCTCGCCCAGATGACAAAGAATCGTACTCCACTGCCCCATACACTGCTCGAGGAAGTCTCTCACTGTACAGTCTATCTTGTACAGTTCGAGGACTCTCTTTAGCCATGTATGGGGCACCGAGTCGAATGCCTTTCTGTAGTCTATCCAGGCGGCGGAGAAGTTCCGACGGTTGCGTTTCACCACTTTGCCAATGACCGCGTCAATGAGGAGTGGTTCCTTGGTTCCACGACCGCCGCCCCGACATCCATTTTGAGCGCGTGACATCACCTGATTTAGCTCCAGGTGAGGAGTGATTCTCGCGCTCAAAATGGATGTCAGTGTCTTATATATGGTGGGTAGACATGTAATGGGGCGGTATTTGCTCGGGTCTGTGGTAATCTGGTCTTTAGGAACCAAATGGGTGATCCCAGTAGTGAAGAGGCTAGGGAGCGACTTCTGGTTGAGAGCCTCTTGAAACTGTCGGGCGAGCACAGCGTGACACACCACGAACCCCTTCAGCCAGTAGTGATGCAGCCCGTCGAGTCCCGGACTTTTCCAGTTCGGGGCCTCTACGGACCGCCTCAGCTACGTCATCCGGCGTTATGGATGACGGGGTCCATGGGCGTAATCCTCGCACACTGACTCGCCACAACTTCCGTCCAAGGGCCCTCGCTGTGGTTTACGGGCTCTGACCACAGGCCACGCCAGAACGCGACAGTGTTGGCCTGGTTCGGTACTGGGCCCGTTCCACATACCTCTGGTCGCTCCAATGATTTGTAGAGCCTCTTCTGATCACTCTGGAAGAGACGATTCTGGTTGAACCGTGTCGACCTCTCGGTAAATCGCCGAATCCGCTTCCCCCTAGCAGCGATACTTTGCTTCAGGTGATCGATGTATTCCGTTAGTTTATGCGTGATATCCGGCTGGTACAAACTGATATTAGTTCCAGCAAACGCCATTCTGATGGTGCGCACAACTTCGGGCTATTATTACCCGACCTGAAGCATATCAGTCTGCCGATGAGGGCCCTTGCCTTTGCGATACGGTCCTCAATTCTTTTTCTCCAGGCTGGGATGGCGCTACTTTGTCCAGTAGCGCGTCCAGCCGGGAAAGTCCGGCGCCAATAATACGGCAGGCTGCCAGTGCGGCGCCAAAAAGAATTGAGTCCGTCTCGCAAAGGTCCCGGCTGGCTTCCAAATAGGTCACCAGTATTGGGTTCAGAACCCTCACGACAGCCCGATTTCGCTTGCTTAGAGGTATGCGGGGAGGTCGCGGTCGATTTTCGAGAGGCATGCCGCGCGTTTCCAAAATCGCCTCTTCCAATATACTCCTCATTTGCTCTAGTTCGTGGGAGACCATTTCATCATCATCTGAATCAACCACAACTGGAAGATCCATGGCGGCTTCTACGCGTGGCAGCTGGTCTGTCGCCTGAGGAGCCGCATCCCCAGCCGTAGCCAATTCATTCGATGAGGGAATGGCCTCACGTCGTAGTCGTTCGAGCTCGGCATCATCGAATATTTTCGAGCGCATGATGTACCGAACTCGGTCTGCCAGGTTTTGTTCCGTGACGGGAATAGACGGCTCCAGCTCAGCAAAAAAGCAATGCATCCGAGCCCGATACGCTATCCCCGCTGTTTCCTCCCCTTTCGCCATATAGTACGCCCGCAATGCGTTTGCGTTCATATCCCTTGTCCAACGCATGCGGCGCACTCCACCAGCGGCGGATGCCGCTTGCCGAGTCCGAGAGGACCCTGCCGACATCAAGCCGTCTGGTGGGGATGATGGATGTGGGGGGCTGTTAGGTGTTCTTGCAGCTCCGCGCGCTCGGCTGGCGGCCCGCATGCTGCCGCGTCCAGCGCCAGCTCCAGACGCGCCCCGGCGACCCCCAGGCAGCGGCCCTATACGTTTTCCAATCATATCCATCATCCATTTTTGGGCGCCAATTAACGGGAGACGCCCAGGCCCGGCACCGTTTCATTGTATCATTGTACGGCCGTAAGCACAAACGGGCCTTTGCACCCTGAGTACTGCGGAGGCACGGCGCTCACACCTCTTGGCAAGGCGCTGACTGACTGCACCGACGTAGCAGTTTTGTCACTTAACTGTTTCGTCAGCGGGCGATGGGGTCGTCACGTCGTACGCCTTTCGTTTATTATTATTATTATTATAATACAAATGAATGAATGAACAAATGGTTGATTATGAATATAAATTTATCAGTTATATATAATGAATAAAATTTTGTATATTTTTATTTTATTTTATTTAAATAAAGATAACAATAGCGTATATATCACTAAATAAAATTTTCAAATTTACTTCAAGTATGCCAATAACAGTTATCCACATATTGAATATGATGGTTAGCTAGGTACAATTGAAATGAATAAAAACGATGGAAATTACACAAATTTAAAACAGTGTAATAAAATCGAAGATTTAATTTAAATCTTTGAATAAAATAGTAGTGATAAAATTTCCATTGTCATTATTTCCATGTCACACCTATGCCGGTAATTGTTGGGAGGACTAAGCACGAAGTTGTTGACGAATACGTTAACCTGGACAAATAGTCCGACTTGGTAAGTCCAACTTAGACCGAGAAGTCAATCGATGGATTCAACTCGGCTGGGCAGCGTTCGGGAAATTACGACACATCTCGTCAGGTATACCTCAAACTCTGAAAACTAGATTTTACAACCAGTGCGTGTTGCCCGTGATAACTTATGAATCTAGGACGTGGTCCTTCACTGCTGGCAGTATGAGGACGCTGAAGGTCGCTCAGCGAGCTATGGAGAGGGCTATCCTCGGGGTTTCTCTGCGAGATAAACTCAGAAATGAGGATATCCGCAGTAGAACCAGAGTGAACGACATAGTACAACGGATTAGTAAGCAGAAGTGGCAATGGGCCGGCCATATAGCTCGAAGAACCGACAACCGTTGAGGAGAAAAGGTTCTCGAGTGGCAGCCTCGTACCGGTAGGCGTAGTGTAGGGCGATCCCCCACTATATGCAGTGACGACCTGGAAAGACATGCAGGAAATCGATGGATACAGGTGGCTCAGGACCGTGCTTTGCGGCATTACTTGGAGGAGGCCTATGTTCAGCAGTGGACTTGTGAAAGGCTGTAATGATGATGATGATGTTGAATAAAATATGGGTGGCACTCGGTGACTGCCGCGGTAAAGCTATTGCATAGCATTTTTTATCAACTTATGCAATTATAATTATTTATTTATTAAGCTATTGCGTAGCTTCTATCGCGGGCCTTGAGCGCGGGGACCGAATCCAGAAATTCCGTAACGAAAAAAAAAACCTCACGCTACCCACTCCGACGGGCACGGAGGTGTGGCGTTGAAAGCCGTGCATCGTCTAACGTCGTTTCAGTTCGGCAGACTTCGGCACTCGGCAGACTTCGGGACGGTGTTTGTGTGCGTGCGACTAGACGTATGCGTGTACACTAGCTGCTAACTCAATGATAAAAATTCCTGAATAACCTACATGTATTGTAAGATATTAAAAATATTTTAAACAATTTTAACTTCTCATTTATTCAATAAGAGAAAAAAAATTGTTTTCTTATCAAAAAGTGTAACTTGATTTAATATCAAAGACTTAACTGATAAATAAAATAAATATAATTATAATTGCTAGTTTATAATGTTGCTCTTTATTTTGCAGTAAGTCTTGATATTAAATCAAGTTACTGAGCGATAAGAAAACAATTTGTTTCTCTATTGATAAATGATTATTGTTTAATTTCGTGGTAGGGTCAGTCTGCCGCGAAGTCTGCCGAACTGAAACGACGTTAGACGATGCACGGCTTTCAACGCCACACCTCCGTGCCCGTCGGAGTGGGGAGCGTGAGGTTTTTTTTCGTTACGGAATTTCTGGATTCGGTCCCCGTGCTCAAGGCCCGCGATAGAAGCTATGCAATAGCTTAAAATTAAAGTAATTTTAGGTTTACTAACACTAAGATATTAAGCCTTACTGACAAATTGATATGCGATTTACTCCTAGAGTTACTTATTATATGAGTTACTAATTATTTAAACATGGCTAACTAAAGTAAGTGTTCTTCATAAAATTTCTTTGTAAGTATACCTTACCGGCATCCTACGTAACCGGTTACAAACAAAGGTATGATCATATTTAACCACAGAAGATGTGTTCAATATGTATGCACGTACCTTGTTTCTAAAATCGCTTTTACTGCCTATAAAGGGATCGATGTTATTAAATGTTTTGTTAAAATTTGATAGCAAACTTGTTGAGATACTATTTTAACCATAAAGCATGGAGTGACGAGTTATGATGATTCTTGTACGTTTTCTTTGTACTTTAAACGTGAAAGTATTCAGTAAATCCGGGTAGTCAATACCATTGCGTAAAATATCGTATAGAAATCCCATACCTAACAGTTTTCGTCTTTTTTCAAGCGGAAGGTTATAGTGTCAGCAGTCATTCGACAAAATATACAATATACAGAAATCTATTAGAAACATTAACCTTTACAATTTTCGAACAAATTAACTTCCCGCTATAAAATCTGTCAAATAACACACCTCATTTCTACGTGGCGTCATACTAGTGGTAGAAAAAGTCGTGGTTACCATCATTGTGTGCAAGGGGGTGAAAATTACTTTAAAATATTCCGCTATATAGATAGATAGATTGCATGAAGCTAATAAAAGTGTTAAGCAAGTCACATTCTCGCAGGATAATTATTTCACTCGATCCCTCAATGAGTTGTTTTTTGAGCGGATTGTTTATGTAGTGTTTACCTACAGTGATAAAACAGAAACATATGTCTTCATAGACGCTTTGATTTATTCAATTATGCCACTATTGCATGACGTTATAGCTTTTTAAAAATGGATCCATCTGTGTTCATTAGAAGTTTTCTTCCGGACCTATAATAACTTTAAGAAAATAGCTTACTTCTTTCTAAAAGGCCGGCAATGCACCTGCAATTCCCTGGTGTTGCGGATGTTAATAGGCGGCGGTAGTCACAGATGAACCACCAACATCAGATGAACCATATACTCGTTTGCCCCCAAATCTATAAAAAAAATTGAGTCAGTTACCTATGCGAGAAGATTAAAAAAGTCTGTTAGGTAACCTATGCCAGAAGTTGGAAAAAAATGTTGATAGAGTTTCTATCAATAAACATTTTTCACAATTGGCTCTCTGAGGCATAGTGAGTAAGCATACAATACAGTTCGTTCATTCAATGTTCCACTCCCGATCATTCGGTCGTTCATTCATGCTTCGCAATCATTGCTATCCTTAGTTGATTGCAGTCGGTGATATTTTTTTTATTAACCGTTTGATCAGTGCTTTTGAATTGAGTCGTAATATCGCCTATATTTGCAATGAAATGAAAACTCTTTATTTGTCGAAGTTAAATTAAAAAAAAGTTTTAATGTAGTTTTAACATGTATTTTTTAATCTACTACCGTTTTGAAATAAGGTTCCACTGTTTGGAGAAGAAACGGCAACAGAAACTTCGCAGATATCCTCTGTTTGTCATTTTTTTAAGCCAATATTATGATGTCCTTAATTAAATATTAGAATAGCAAGTAGTCGTGGTAGCTCAGATGGTCAACGCTCGCTGTAAATTTCACAGTACACGAGCAAACCGAGTTCGATTCCCGCCGGGACCAATGTAATTGTTAATTGCAATTTTAAGTGCTGATTTGCCACGTGCTCGGCGGTGATGGAAATCATCGTCAAACAAAAAATATTTCGAAGATATGTGAAGTTCGCCAACACGCATTGGGGCAGCGCGGCGGACTATTCCTTGCCCTAAAACCCTCTCAGAAATGAGCGGAGGCCTGTGCCCAGCAGTGGGAAGTATATAGGTGGTGACCTTTTTAACGTTAACAATACCAAACGTATAAATTATCAAAGCATGCTAAAATGATCTTTTGTCATTTCAATTTAAATCTAAATTCAATCTTTATCTTCGTTGTGCAGTGGCTTAGTATGGACTTTCGGCGCTGAGGGCCGTGGGTTCGAATGCCCTACAGAATAAGTATTTATATGACCTACAAATAATTGTTTCAGATTTAGATGTTTGTCATTGTGAAATTTATGTTTGTGAACAATACAGGAGACAATTCTGATGTGGTCGTAGCGTATCTATAGGTATTGAGGAAGGGGGGGGGATGTAATAAAAAGTAGAAAAAATATAGAATTAGTATCTCGTGTAAGCGATGTAAATTACCCGGTGTCGAAGAATGGAATAGAAGAGGATAATTTTAATTAATTATAGATTATAAGTAATTTTTTATTGAAAAACATTTTTAATAAAAGGTTTAAGACGTTTGGTGATGCCTTATTTATAGAATAAGGGTAACAAGACCACACAGCCCACCTTATGGTAAGTAAATGCTGTAGCCCCTAGACATCTACATCTATCCTCGATAACGAATTAAAATGCAGATGCGTCGTCACCCGTGAGGAATAAGATGGAAAGCCTCGTCTCCAGTAAATAGGGTCCCCGGTTCTCTACACTCACCATACGAAACACAGCAGCATTAAGTTACTATTTTACGCTGGTATTCTGTGAGAGCGTGGTCCTTCTCCGGTCGAGCCGAGCCATTCGTGCTACAACTATACTACTAATATAACTGCAGCATGGCTCTGTCGCGTATAAAAGTTAATATAAGTTTTTTGATAAGCTTTGTGGTTATTAAAAATTAATTAATAATTTAAGTGTATGTGTTGAACTGAATGAATGAGTGAACAGGTCAAGAGCTTGTATTATCACTCATATAAAGGTAAAAAATAACACCCCTCGTACAAGCAAAGTTTTATTTGACCACCCCGCTTTACACTGTGCGGGTGAAAAAATAAATATGTCATTAGCAGCAATAACATGAGGCGCGCCCTAGGGGTGGGTTTCCGTGCGATTGACTC